AGGGTGTAAATCTTTACGGGAGTAGAAAGCCTCATCTTTCTCCCGCGGAGCGGCTGGTAGTTTTGAACCGCTGACCTTAAGGTTCGCAGCCCGATTCGTAACCACTACGCTACCAGGGAGACCACCAACGAGCTTAATTGACACATTGGCAGCAGCAATGGGCTCCAGCATCACAATGATTGTGAGGTTCACGCAGGACTGGGCAGTCTTTCGTTCTGTGTGCATAGGTTGCTATGAGTTGGAGTAGACTCAATGGCACCTAACAACAGCAAAAACAGAGCAACTCTACAGAAGTATTTAGAATCTACAGCCATCTGAACAGAGGAAAGACTATTCACACTGTGCCGTGCTGTTCTTGGGCAATGCTGTTGTTGTTCTTGTGGAATAAGACACAGGAATGTTATACTTCAAGATTATCCCCTTTTGTAAAAACTAGGAAGAAATACTATTTGTTGTGAATACGACTAGGATTTCCCCTATGGGTCCAGCCTCTTTGTGAAAAAACAGAGAAAAAGAGGAAGCCCCCTAGCAGGATGGATTGGCAGAGTGGCAGCATCAATGGGCTCAAGCGTGGCAACAATTGTGAGGCTGGCCCAGGACAGGGCAGTGTTTCGTTCTGTTGGGCACAGGGTCCCTGAGTCAGTACCAATTCGATGCCACCTAACAACAACATCAAGTTAATTCAGACTCAAGGTGACACTATGTGTATCAGAGTAGAACACAGGGTTTTCAGTGGTTGATGTTTCAACTGTAGATTACCAGGCCTTTCTTCTGAATCATCTTTGGGGGAATTTAAACCTCTAACCTTTGGATAACAGTTGAGTACATTAAATGTTTGTGCTACTCAGGGACTCCAGTCTTTCTGTAGATGATGTGAGGACAAGGAAGAAGAATTAAAAAGACAGAAGAAATGACTCTTGACTAAATCTGTGGGGGAACTCATCTGTAGGATTGTTGTTGGTAAGTGTTGTCGAGTCGATTCTGATCCATAGCGACCCTATACAGGGTTTCCTATACAGTTGGTGAGCTTGAATCACTGACCTTGCAATTCAAACGACTTTGCAGTGGGACGCATTAGCCCACAGAGCCACACCAGAACTCCAATCTGTAGCGTAGAGAGCAAGCTTATTTCTACTGATATGGACTGCACTTCCTATATGTACATATATGTAGCAGGAGACTCTCAGTGGTACGAATGGTTAAGTGTTTGACTACTAGATGAAAGGGTGGTGGTTTGAATTCACTCAGAGGTACCTTGGAAGAAAGGCCTGGGGAATCAATGTTCAAGGTCACAGCCTACAAAAGCTTTTAGAGCTGTTCTAATTTGCATACACGGGGTCTCTGTAAGTAGGAACCGGCTCAACAACAATTAACAACAGCAACATACTTGTGTGGCACTGTAGGATAAGTACTGGATTACTAACCACAAGGTCGGTGGTTCAAACACACAAGCCACTTTTCGGTGGTTTGAGTCCAGCAGCTGTTCTACAGGAGAAAGATGAAGCTTTCTGTTTCTGCAAAGATTTACAGCCTCAGAATCCCTATAGAAAGTTGCTATGAATTAGAACTCACTGGATGGCACTTAATAACAATAACGTAAATAAATAATGTCCCTGGGTGGCACAAATTGTTTGCGCTCAAGTACTAGCCTAAAGTTTGGCAGTTCAAATCTACTCAGCAGTGCCACAGAAGATAGGCTTTATGACTTACTCCTGTGAAGATTGTTTTGTTAAACGCCGTGAAGTTGTTCCAACGTGAGAGACCCTGTATAGGTTTCCAAGGAGCAGCTGGTGGATTTAAACTGCTGACCTTGCGGTTAGCAGTCCACTGCTTACTGTATAGTGCCACACCAGGACTCTCACCAATAAAACCCTACAGAGCAATTCTACTGTAACACCTGGGATCAGCATTAGTCAGAATCAAATGGAGAGCGAGGACTTTGCTGTTTCTGGTACGATTCCAGAAAAACTGTGTTACTCTGGTTTACTTCTGAGTTATCAGATCTCTAATTTGGAGTGTTTATAGATGTGTATGTGGTGCTGCAGGATAATGCACAGGACAACAAGGTCAGTTTGAATTGCAAGGTCAGCAGTTCAAACCCATCAGCCACTCCTCAGAAACCCTATACAGGGTCGCTATGGATGGAACTGACTCGACGGCACTTATAAACACCACCAACAACACACATGTGACTATTCATACATTTCTGTGTGTGGGAGAGAGAGGACACTGGGCACAAAGTATGCTTGTTCTTGTAAAAAACTTAGGAATGTGTGTGTAGGAAGGATCATTAACAGGGTTTTATACAAGGAGAGTATATATGGTGGGAAAGTGTGTTTGTACGTGTGTGTGTGTGTGTGTGTATTGTACAGGTGGGTGATGGGCAACATTGTATGAATTACAACCTTTAACAGATCCAGGCAGTGCTGTAAAATACAAAGTGTTGTGGGAGGTGATTGTTTTCCTTTCAGACCAGCACACAGGGTTTTGAGGAGTCCTTGACTTTCTCCTCCTCCTTGTCTTGTTAAAAAGGGATTAGAGGCCAATTAAGCAGTTTAATCCCAAAGTAGAGATTCATGTTTAAAAACAAGATTTACAGCTTCTTAGAAAAATACATCAGGACAAGCTGAGGTTTGTCCTTTCAAGTTGCTACCTGCATGGTTCCAGATGGGTTTTTTTCAGCTGAATACCTGACGTGCAGTTCTTCTTAATTACTTTGCCTCATATCTCTACTCCTCCATCTCTTTAAGTGCCCTTCAACCTAAATGGCTACATGCTGCGAGATCACTTCAGCTTCTGGATTGCTGTACCTGCCCCTTGGTTTATCTCCCTTCAGCTGGTAATTCAGTGATCAGGGTTAATAATAACAATAGAAATAAGGGCTCACAGTCATTGAATGCTTAGTATAGGCCATGATGAGTCGGAACTGACTTGACAGTAACTGGTTTGGGTCATTGGTGTTTCAATGGTAGAATTCTCATCTTCCAGGGGGGAGGTCTAGGTTCAAATCCTGGCCAACTGTACCACCTGTCTGTCATCAGAGGCTTGTGTGTTGCTGAATGATGCTGAACAATATAGAATGATGTTCTCTTATGCGGAACAGGTTTAAGTGGAACATCCAGCTTAAGATAGACTAGGAAGAAAGGCCTGGTGATCTGCTTGCAAAAATCAGCAAATGAAGCCCCTATGAAGCACAACAGCTCTATCTGCCACAGATCATGGGGACCAGGCAGTGTTTTGTTCCATTATACATGGGCTAGCAATGGATCAAACGGCAGCTTGCTAACATTTAATAGCAACAATACTATAGTGCTAAGCACTTTAAATTCATTTTCTTGTTAGATTTTTTATATGAAAACACCCAGGGCCAGCTTCATGGGTGTGGGACTTGAGCAACTGCCCCACGCCTTAGGCCTTAAAGGGTCCTGTACTTGGTTTAATGCTCTGTTACTTCCACTTGAAAATTTTTAATATATATATATATTTTAACAAGGGGCCCTTCATTTTCATTTTGTACTAGGCCCCTTGGAGTCACACAATAACCCATATTGTTTTTTGCTTCTTTTCCCCCTAGATGATGCCTAATAAACTGCCAGAGGCATGTGTCTCAACTTGTGCCCAAACTCTCCCTAGAAAATGGGAGCCGTCACCTCATTGGAAGAAAAGTCTAAGGGACAGGAACCATGTCATGACCCTTAACATGGAGAAGTTGCTGTAAGCTTCAGTTTCCTCATCTATAAAACAGGGATAACAGCAATAATGCCCAGCTCACAGGCTGTGTCAAGGATGTAATGGATCATGCATCTACAGCTCTATTGCATATTATTTATGCAAGGCCCAAACCAAATCCCACTGCCATCAAGGCGATTCTGACTCACACCAACTCAACACCATATAGGATAGAGTAGAACTGCTCCCTATGGTTTTGGAGGCTGTAAATCTTTACAAGTGCAAACAGCCTCATGTTTCTCCTGCGGAACTGCTGGTAGATTGAAACCTGCTGACTTTGCTGTTAGCAGCCCAGTATGTAACTCACTACACAAACAGGGCTTCTTGTATATGGCAATACCAATACCAAACCCACTGCCATTGGGTCGACTGTGACTCCTAGTGACCCCTGTATAGGATTTCTGAGTCTGTAAATCTCTATGGGATTTGAGATGAGAAAGTCTCATCTTTCTCCTATGGAATGGCTGGTGGGTTTGAGCTACTGACCTTGCAATTAGCAGTCCAGTGCATATCCTACAATGCCACCATGGCTCCTTATATATGGCAATGTTGCTGTTGTTGTTAAGTGCCTTTGAGTGGGTCCTGACTCAAGATTTCTAAGAAGTGGCTGGTGGGTTTGAACCGCTGACCTTTTGATTCAAACCGACCTTGTAGTCCAGTGCATTATCCTGCAGCACCACACTAGGACTCCCATATATGGTTATGGTGGTGGTGGTGATGTGCCATGGAATTGGCTCTGACTCATAGCAACCCTGTACAGAGTTTCCGAGGTTGTAAATCTTTATGGGAGCAGAAAGCCTCATCTTTCTCCTAAGGAACAGTTGGTAGTTTAGAACTGCTTACCTTGAGGTTAGCAGCCCAACTCATAACCACTACACTACCAGAGCTCCTTATGTGTAGTAACTTGTTGCTGTTGTTAAGTGCCGTTGAGTTCATTCTGACCCATAGCCACCCTATATAGGGTTTGTTGTTGTTGTTACGTGCCGTGCAGTCGGTTCCGACTCATAGTGACCCTATACAGGGTTTCCGAGGCTGTAAATCTTTACGGGAGCAGAAAGCCTCATCTTTCTCCTGCGGAACAGCTGGTAGTTTCGAACTGCTGACCTTGCGGTTCGCAGCCCAATTCGTAACCACTATGCTATATAGGGTTTAGTTATTATTAATACATTCTGGGGACTTAGCCATTCTGAAACAGCAAACATTGCTTGTGAACTTATGCAATCACCTATCCTGATTCCAAGGTGCAGTCCCGGAAGAGGTTTGTTCCCTACCTGTCCGACACAGCTGGGTGGAACGTCTGCTTTCTCCATGTGTGGAGTGATGACAGAGGGGTTGCTGGAACTGATCAACACTGGGGTACCTATCTCCACCATATGGCGCCCTGAGGGAGAATGGACCATCCTGTTGAGTGTGTTCAAGGCTGTCGTGATGGAGAACTGCCCGGGTGCCTTCCTCCTGGACCCAGGGCCCCTACGGAGAGTGGGCGAGTTGGTTGCTTTGCCTCTGGGAGATGAGGACTCCAGAGACAGGGTTTTTGTGCGGGAAAGCTGACGACCTTTGTTCTTCTCTAGGAGGTGTCTTGCAGTGAGGTTTGGCTGAAAGACAAAAGGTCCGATGACAAGTTAGTCTTTCTGATCTAATATGAGCAGCTAAGTCTTACCCAGGCTGGTCTGATGCCAGTTCAGATACCATGTCCCTAGTCATTCACCTCAGGGCCAGCAAATTAACAACCTCCATCTTTTATCACTATGTCCCAGGTACTTTGCTATAGCGATTGCTGTCGTTAAGTGAAGTGCTGTCGAGTGGATTCCGACTCATAGCAACCTTGTAAAGGGTTTTGGAGGAGCAGCTGGTGACTTTGAACCACCAAACTTGTGGTTCAAACTGCCCTTTGGTCCAGTGCATTATCCTGCAGCAGTAAGTTCTACAACTCTCTTGCAAAGTAGGTATTTTATGAGTGAGTTCTGGGAGTCCCTGGGTGGTGCAAATGGTTAAGCACTCATCTGCTAACTGTAAGCTTGGAAGTTCCAGCCTTTTCAGAAGTAGAAAGAAAGGTCTGGCAATCTGCTTCTGAACAATCTGTTATTGAAAACTCTAAGGAGCACAGTTCTTCTCAGACATACGTAGGGTCACCATGAGTTGAAATTGACTTACGGCAATTGGTTGGACTTTTTTTTTTTTTTTTTTTAACTGAAGTCCAAAGGGGTTACTCCTGGTGTTGGCTCTGAAGGATCAGCACTGAACTGTGAACCACAAGGTCGGCAGTTCAAACCCACCAGCTGCTCCTCAGAAACCCTATACAGGGTCATTATGAGTCGGAACTGACTTGATGGCACTTAACCACAACGACAACAACAAGGGGGTTAAAAACAAGCCAGAGTTCTCTTTTCTGACTCTTTTCACCCAGTAAATTCCTCCACTCATCCTTCAGTTCCCCTGTACCCCCCAGTCTGTGCCTTCCCCTCATTACACTTTCACTCTGAGTGTGATCATTTACATGCCTTTTCCCTACTGGACTGTTAGCTGTCTGACGGCAGGGACCTTGCACATGATATTCTCTGCTGTCTCCTAGACTGAATGCTTAGTGAGTATTTGCAGAACAAGTGGATGAAGTTGTTTAAATTCATACTTTGGAATTCATTCGGGGCCCTGGATCTTTGTTTTTTCTACTTCCTGTATATCCTTTTGATTCATTACAGTTCTCCCTCATTCTTGTTCTGTATCTCCTAGTCAGTGATGTGCTAGAAAATTGTTTCTCAAAAAGCAAAGAAAAGGTCCTGATTATTTACCATTTCTGTGGTTTAAATAGAGTTCCTGGGTGGAGTAAAAGGCTAATGTTCTTGGTTGCTAACGTAATGGTTGGGGGTGCCTTGGAAGAAAGGTCTGGCAATTAACTTCCCAAAAAAACTCCATTGAAAATCCCATGGAACTGAGTTCTACTCTGACACACATGGGGTTACATGCATTCAGAATCAACTCAACAACTGTTTTTTGGTTGTTTGTTTTGTTTTGGCTTTGATGGCATAGATGACCGAGTTCAGGCTACTGATGGCTTAATTACTGAATAGCAAAGTTCCTGAAAATGTAGCAAGAGTTTGTATAATTCAGGCCCAGCCAGCCAGTTTCAGCAGATTATTATGCTAGAATAGAGGTATGCGCCTTCCCTAAATATTGGTAAATTTCCACAAAACAAATATCGTTTGAGGAAGACCCCCAACGAGATGGATCTGACAGGTGGCATCATTGATGGCATCAAGTGTGGCAGCGGTAATGAGGTTGGCCCAGGATCAGACATTGTTTTGTTCTGCTGTGCATGGGGTCACTATGAGTCGGTTCTGACTCGATGGCACCTGACAACAACAACAACAACCCTATCTACCAAGGTCTCTTATGAATTCATTTCCTTCAGAAATTTAAAACATGTTTGTGTGAATAAAACATTCCAGGATGACTACTTACATTTCCACGATTATACTTGTCACTCTTCAAGGCGGCACAAATGGCTTGCCCTCAACTAATAACCCTAAACTTGGTAGTTCAAACCCACCCAGGGGCACCGTGGAGGAAAGACCTGGAAATCTATTTCTACAATGATTCCCGCCAAGAAAACACTTTGCAGTAGTTCTGGTCTGCAGCAGGTGGGGTAGACAGGAGGACTTGAAGCCAATTGGGCAGCATTGGATTCAAACTATCCCCAGTTGCCTTCAACAACCACAAGTCTTACTCTGATTTAGAGATTTAACTATAGAGGTAAAAGGAAATGAAATTTGTCTGTTGAAGAACATTTTAACGACAACATGTAGAGGCTTAAAATAGATGAGATTGAAAAATTGAAAGAAAATGTGGTTTCTCTCTTATTATTATGGCACAGTCATGAAGCAGGGGAGGGACATTATTTCCATTTTAAAGATAAGCAAGTCAAGTTTCAGGGAAGGTGAGTTATAAACGGTAGACTCAGCATGTAGACAAGTAAACAGAAAACCAAACATGAGACAGCAGTAAGTACTCTGATGAGACAGTGACCAGGGGAAGCTGCTACTGTAGATTGGAGGGTCATGGAAGACCAATGGAGAAGGTGACATTTAAGCTGAGACACAGATGACAAGGAGGTAGCCACATGAAGATGAGAGTAAGAACATGCCAGGCAGACGCACTATAACCAGTTGATGCTGACTTGATTCTGACTTAGGGAAATCCTGTGTGTGTGTCAGTAAAAATGGCCTGCTAGAGACCTCTGATGTCTAACTGTGCAAGGGGGAGAGAGAATCACCATCAACAGTCCAAGGCCGATTCCTCTGAAGTGGAGGCTAGGTACAACTCCTGTTTCCCACCTTATTAACAATTTAAAAAGCAGCTCTCCCTCCCATGGAACTCTCTAATTCTCATCTGGGTTTGATAGTTCATTGCAGTGGCCATACAGAACCCACAGACAATACTCACCATTATGGGGTTTATTAGGGAAGGAACAGGTAGCAACTCAGGATCAGGAAATGCTGAGGATACAGTTTTTCCATTAGGACAGCCTCTTCTCAGTCATGCTCACAGGCAGGTCTCTCTCTAGCCCCTACTCTGCCTCCACACCTCAGCTGGCCTCTGCCCTGCTCGGGCAAGTGTTACAAAGCTGTTTAGCCCAGAGGTCCCCAACTTCACCAATAAGACATGGACTGAAGGTGCTCAACTCTTTAGCTCTTGAGTCTGCAAGTCTAGCTCTGTCAACAAGTGCTCGGAGGCACCCTACTCCAACAGCAAGCTCCTGTCCTAAGGCACAGTTCTCTCGCTCCGTGAGTTGGCACCCACTGTAACCACCTTGCTTTGTGGGCCATAGAGCCTACTGTGCCATCTTGCACTTGTCTCCTGGTCCTGATGTTCAATCTGCCACTGTTCTTGCTATCTTGTGCCATCTCCAGTGTTTACAACTCTTGTTGTGTCTTTGGGTCTAGGAGGTTCTCAGCACAGGGACCCAGGTCAAAAGATGTGCTCTACTCTCATCTATTTTTCTTGGTGGTAGTGGTTATTCCTTTCTGCCTCTAAGACGACTCATGTTAAGCCTAACCAATCCCCTTGTTGTGTCCTGGCATGGCACAGTAGGATAAGTGCTCAACTGCATTGTTGGTTTGAAGGCAAGATCAGCAGTTCAAATTCACCAGTTATTCCTTGGAAATCCTATACAGGGTCTCTATGAGTTGGAACCAACTTGACAGCAATTAGCACTTAACACCAACAACAATCCCTTTGTTAGGGTTCCATAGACCTTATTTTCATGGTCCTACCTCACAAGGGGAGTCCTGGTGTGGCGCTGTGGGTTAATGTGCCAGACTACAAAGCCATCTGAACTGTAAGGTTGGTGGTTCAAGCTCACCAGCTGCTCCTTGGAAACCCTACACAGGGTCGCTATGGGTTGGAACCGACTCAATGGCATTTAACAACAACAACAATCCCACAAGGGTTCCATGAATCTTATTTGCATTGGAAGCAAGCTTTTCAGTCTCCTTGTTGGGCTGCTGGTGGTGGTGGTGGTGTGCTGTGAAGTCAGTTCTGACTCATAGTGACCCTGTATAGGGTTTCTGAGGCTATAAATCTTGATGGGAGTAGGAAGCCTCATATTTCTCCCATGGAACAGCTGGTAGTTTGGAACTGCTGACCTTGAGGTTAGCAACCTGACTCATAACCACTACATTACCAGAGCTCCTTCCTTGGTGGGCTACAAACACCTTATTTGCATGATTCTACCCAATCATTAGAGTCCTGGTATAGCACTGTAGGATAAGCACTGGACTGTTAACTGCTAGGTCTTGAAGTTCAAGCCCACCACCCGCTCCTCCAAACCTCTCCACAGGGTCTCTATGAGTCAGAACAGACTCAAGGACAGTTGACAAGAACAACAAGGCAATCATTGTGTGAGAGGCACAAAGACTATAGCTGGAAGAGCCACATTAAGTAATCCACTGCACCACAATTTCAGAATTGAATTGTACTTCAAAGGGTTTTCAATGCTGGTTTTTCAGAAGCAGGTCTCCAGGTCTGGTAGATCTGACCCTCCAACTTTAGGTTAGCAGCTGAGTGCATTAGTCATTTGCACCACTCAGGGACTTCATAGAGATATTATAAGCTTGTGGTGGTGGTGGTGGTTGTGTGCTGTGGAGTCGGTTCCAACTTATAGCGACCCTGCATAGGGTTTCGAGGCTATAAATCTTTATGGGAACAGAAAGCTTCATTATTTTTCTGCAGAATAGCTGGTAGCTTTGAACTGCTGACCTTCAGGTTAGCAGCCTGACTTGTAACCACTACACTACCAGAGCTCCTTATTATAAGCTTGTAGAAAGGTCTTAGGAGTGAAGGAGCTTAGCATGTTTGAGGAAAAGACAGAAGAAACAGAAAGCTAAAATGGAGAGGGTGCAGAGTAGGTGCTAAGAGGTAAGTCTAGAGAAGTAGGGGTAAAATCACAAATGGCCTGGGATAATTCACTTTGTTCCAGATATAAGAGGAAGAATTTGGAAGGATTTAGGTAGAGGAATGATATGACCTGAGTTATGTTTTTAAAAACTCATTCTAGTACCCATTTGGCTTATCCTTGATGACTTGATAATCAGAACTCGACTAGAGGAAGATAAAAAAGAAAATTTTTGATAAAGGAAATGGGGTAAATTGCTACAATTTGATGAACTTGACCGTATAGTCAAGGAAGTAGTAGCTCAAAATACCAACTGAGAGAGAAGTAGTCTTCACATTAAGTATCAATTCTATCCCCTCTGTATACAGGGTAGATAGGGATGGGCAATTTAGACATTGGCTACCTAAAATGAGGAGGTGATAAAGGCACGAAGTGACTGGTTTAAAAGGTTTCAACAGGGAGTTTAGTTTGAGAGTGTGTGGAGGAAGATAGATTCTCCACTGACTAGTTTTCATCTTGTCTAAATGGGTCTCATAAAAAGAAATAGGGATAAGATTCTTCTGATTCAATAGTGAGTAATTGTTATCATGACTAATTGCGACTGTCACAATCGTAAAGGTAGAAGTTTTGTAAAAAAACCTGGGGAATAGTTAATCTTATAGTCCAGAAACATAGGACCCTAGGACCATTAAAGGAGAAGAGCACAAGCGGAATGCGGGACCCTATCCAGAGAAGCAGTAACACCAGAGATGGAGACAGAGATGGAGACATGGAGAGAAGGAGCAGCTGAGGACTCTAGATTCATGGAAAGAGAGGGACTGAGAGTTGGTGGCCAGGAGGCAGGCTTGCAGAATGTGCCTTTTGATGTGTAAATTTAGAATATATGCCTGAGTGTTTTAAAAAAAAAAGCTAAAATGAATAGAAATACTGTTAACTGATGGTACATGAACGGGATTATAATCATTGTAATAAAATAAAGTATATAATTTGTCAAATGTAAAACTGATGATCTGCCCTGAAAACTTTCACTCAATTCCCAATAAAAACTTAAACCTCCCCCCCCTAAACAAAAACAACACTCATTCTGAAGTTTGTCAGTTTCTTAAGTTAGACAGATATTCAGCATCTAACTCAGCAGTCCTATTACTAGGTATTTACCGAAGAGAAATGAAAAAATTATAGCCACACAAAAACATGTATACAAATGTTTATAGCGACCTTAATCAAACTCTAGTACAGCCATAAATGGAATACTACTCAGTCATAAAAAGGGATGCACTTTTGATATACACAACAATATGAATGAATCTTAAATGCATTATGCTAAGTGAAGGAAGCCAGACTCAAAAGGCTACATACTGTATGATTCCATTAATATGAGTCATTTTGAAAAAATAGGAACAGAAAATAGATCTGTGGCTTCCAGGAGTAGAAACTTGGGGAAGAGGTTAAATATAAAGAGCTGGCAGGATGAGGGATTTTTTTTTGGAGGGTGGGGGGGCAGTGTTGGGACTAATCTTTATCTTGAGTGTGCTCATCATTATACAACTGAATGTATTTGACAAAAATCATGAACCTGTATACCAAACAGAGTAAATTTTATTGTATAGAAATTAAACAAATCTCAAAATAAAAAGCTCGTTTTGGCTTTGAATGAAAAGTAGATAATAGGGAGACCAATTAGGAGGTTACTGAAATTGTCTAGGCAAGTTGTGAAGGCAGTCTGGACTAGGAACAATGGCATATGTTCCCCAGAGTACTTACCATTCCATTGTTCATTGATTCAGTGGGCAATCCATAGGCTTTGAGCGGACCAAATCAAGATCTTTATGGTCATCCAGAGCTGTAATAAGGAGCCCTGGTGGCACAGTGATTAAGTGCTTGGCTACTAACTGAAAGGTGCCACTTCAAATATGCCTAGTGGCTCCAAAGGAGACAGACCTCCCTCTAAGGATCTCCCTCTATAAAACTTTGTTGTTGTGTCTTTAAGTGCTGTTGAGTCGATTCCAACTCATAGCAACCCTATGTAGGTTTTCTGAGGAGTAGGCTGGTGAGTTTGAACCGCCACCTTGCTGTTCAAACTGACCTTGAGGAGGTAGAGCACTTATCCTATGTGCCACACCAGGATTCCAGCCTAGAAAAACCTATGGGGCAGTTGTATTCTGTTACATGGAGTCGCTATGACTTAGATGTGACTTGACTGCACCTAACAAAAACAACAACAGAGCTATAATGAAATAAGTTAATTTTTTTTTTTGGTCTCAACTTAATTGCGCTGCCTCCAGGTGAGCACTACCATCCCCTTTTCCATCAGCACTGACAAAGGACTCTGGGACTCTGCGTCTCTCCTGTCCTCTGCCAACATGATTAATAGCTCAGCTGGGGAAGTGTTGGAGTTCTCTTAGCTTCACACCCACTCATTTGAAGCAATATCCTTGAGGTTCATTGGGCTGAACAAGACTCATAACCCAGACAGGCCCCGCTGGAGAAGTCCGGGCAAGAATGGGCGTGATTTTAGTGTTTGCTGTACCACCTTTTTTATCCAGGTGCAAGAAAGAAAATGTTCAAGAAATGAAATGATACATTAACAAGAAAAAAATGCAGTTTATGCCAAAAAAAACAAACAAACCCATCACCATCATAAGAAAGCTTCCTTTCCTTCCAATTGCTTTGCATGACACGAATAATTCAAAGCATCTTTAAAGAGTTCTCAGCAAGTACTAGTCTTAATGAAACGACTAGAGTCAAAATATAAGTGCTGCTTTAAAAAGCTCAATTTAGATTTCAAGTAATTTTTGAAAACCAGGTTCCCAGATTAGAGACACCACTTGATTATTTTTCCCCTTCCTAGCAATTAGGAGAACAAATGAAGCAATGGCTAGTTTGATGATAATCTTGAGGGTTCTTGTAATCACTAATATGAGAGGTAAAAAGTATCCAAATGAATAATCATTAAATGTAGAAGTTTTGTAAAATAGGGTCTCAGAAATGGATAATGAAATCAGTGGTGCCTTTTTTCTTAAAGCTATGAAGAAGCTTCGTGAAATAATGAAGAGGATCACGCAAGTTCAAATCTGTAAGAAATTGCTAAGTACCTCTGTCATGGAATGGTATCCCCACAAAATATAAGTCAACTTGGCTAGGCCTTGATTCCTAATAGTGTGGTGCTGTCCTCCATTTTGTGATCTGATGGGTTATCCTCCATTTTGTAATGTGTTATAAATCATAACTTTGGTGGTGCTATAGGATAAATTGTTGTTATTAAGTGCCGTTGAGTCGATTCTGACTCATAGCTAGCCTGTATAGGGTTTCCGAGGAGCAGCTGGTGAGCTTGAACCATGGACTAAGCAGTTTAAACCAACCTTTCAGTCCAGAGCATTAACCCACAGCACCACACCAGGGCTCCTGGACTGCTAATCATAAAAAAGCTTGGCTGTTTAAACACACACCAGCCTCTCTGCAGGAGGAAGATGTGGCTTTCTACGTCTGTGAAGATTCACAGCCTTGGAAACCCTGTCCAGGGTTGCTATGAGTTGGAACTGACTCGATGGCAGTGGGCCATATATTAATGAGGCAGATTAGTGTGGGGTGGTGCATCTTGAGCTACAGCCTTCATAGTTCCACCCTTCCTCACGTCACATACTCAAGTCACATCCTTACTTAAGTCGTATCCTTACTCAAATCATACCTTTCCTTGAACCACATCTTTTATTTTACAAGAGATAAAAGAAGAGAGAAGTGTGCAGAAAGGAGAGGGACCTCAGTGCCACCCAGAAAGGAGAGCAGGGAGCAGGAGTGGATCCTTTGATCCTGGGGTCCCTGTGTTAAGTACCTCCTAGACACGGGAAGATTTATGTCATGACACATAGAGACTCCAAAGAACACCAGGCCCTCAGATGTTCAAAGGAAACAACAAAGCCCTTGGAAAAAGCCTTCCCTTAGTACTGCCTCCCTGAATTTGAATTTCTAACCTTCTAAACGGTGTGAGAATCCATTTCTGTTTGGTAAAGCCATCCACTTGTGATATTTATGTTATATCAGCATTAGACAATGAAGATAACTTCGTATGTGTCCAACTAGGTATGAGTTGCTGCTGAATTCTGCCTTTACAGAGTTAGCCATTATTTTCCAATCACCATAATTGTGCCTCCTCAACAAATGTTCCTTAACCCAGAAAGCAGCTCTACCACAGACTGAGACTCTCAAACCAGAAATCTGGGCATTATCCTGATCACTTATGTTTTTACCCCACAGTCCTAGATGGGAGGGAGCATGCCTTTGACTCTTTCCTTGCTCTCCCTGGGTAATTTTTGATGCTTTATGTCTGATAAACACCAACAAACATGGTTAAGCAATAGAACTGCTCTTTCAAATTTGTAATGTGCTTCACCAAGTTAGGGTAAGGGTTATGACCAGTGAGGTTAGGGGCTGCAGGTTGTATTATTATATTGGAGAAATAAGAAGATAGCTTAGTATATTTTCTTTCTTTGGGATAGCTTTAAAAACAAACAAACACTACTTTCTAAATATGCTCATTTCAGAATATTTAGAAAATATTCATAAATACACAGAATAAATTAATTTTGACACTAAATTCCTATGGTTGGATTTAAATCATTTCAGATTTTTCACAAGTGTACACATAATGTTGTGGTAAATATTTTTTTATGCATTTAGTATTGTGCACTCATTCAAGCATTCTCTCACAATAAACTCTTAGATGTAGAATTGCTGACTAATTGGAGATGCACATTTTTAGGACTTTTGATATACTTATTAATTTATTTGGGTATGAGAGATTGCACCAATTTACACTCCTATTAACAGAATGAAAACGGTCCTATTCCCCATAATCTTGCAAGGACTAGAAAGTACCTAAAAAAGATATATATATATATATTCACTTTAAAGACTTTAGTTAGGTTTGAAATAGGCCTCAGATCAAACAGGAATTGCGCCCGGGAATTCTTGTGGTGCATGTATATTTCTGAGTAAGCTTTAATCAAGATGCAGACTTGATCTTCACATACCTCCACAAACAAGATAGGGAAGATGCCTATTTTATCTCCCAACTTTCCTTCAGCCCAATTTTCATCCACTCTGCTGATCACGGTGATGATATCATCCTGAAAGAGAGAATATTTCCTGGTCAACATTTACTCAGATTTCAGGTGGGGAAAGCTATCAATGAGGTCAGTGTGGGGGTCCAGATGGTGTAGGGCAGAAGGAATGGAGCAGCATATTTATGATTTACTTACTAAATCTTTCTGCTGAAATTGTCCTTTTCTCTGGAAGAGAAAAGACTCAAGACTACAAGAAGTATCCCCAGAAATTATTTGGAGGGTTCATGGAACCCAATATAAAAACATGGAAATATTTCCAATTTTTAACCACCAGCAGAATCAGGGCTTTTCGTTTAAGCTAATTTGATGAATTAAGATGAAAGTCATAGCAAGACAGATTTTTTACTCATCAAATGAAGGAATCAACTTCATTTTCATTTTAAAGACTTTTAAGAATGAATTATTCATTTCTTTGCATATCAAATAATAAAGTGACTATTTTATTCAAGTTTTTCTTAATACAAAAGGTAATATGTAGAATGTAGAAACACTGGACAATACAGATGAAGAAAACAAAGAAAAATTCTATCACAGTAGAGATAAAATCACTATTGACACCTTGGTATGTATTTTTTCCAGAACACTTTCTAAGAAGCTAAAGCATATATGTTCTTTTTGTTGAGTGTCCTTGAGTCAGTTTTGACTCATAGTGATCTCACCCATGTGACAGTGGAAAAACTGGATGCTGTAATGCTGTAATCTTTATGGAAGTAGGAGTCACTGCGTGAATGTGAACCACCAACCTTTCAGTGAGCAACCAGGCACTTAACCAAACGTAAGTGTGTGTGTGTGTGTGTGTGTGTATGTGTGTGTGTGTGATCTAAATCCAACCATAGGAATTTAGTGTAAAAATTCATTTCTTCTGTGTATTTATGAATATTTTCTAAATATTCTGAAATGTGCATATTTAGAAAGTTGTGTTTATTTATTTTTTAAAGATATCCCAAAGAAAGAAAATATACTAAGCTATCTATTTATTTCTCCAATATAATAATACAACCTGTAACCCCTAACCTCATACACACATATACATATACACATATATATGGCGTCCTGGTGTGGCGCCGTAGGATAAGCACTCGACCTCATGGTTGGTTTGAACTGCAAGGTTTGTGGTTCAAACTCAACAGCTGCTCCTCGGAAACCCTATACAGGTTACTATGAGTCGGAACCAACTTGACGGCACTTAACAACAACACACACGCCTATATATAGGTTGCTGTTGTTAAGTGCTATCAAGTCAGTTCTGACTCATCGTGGCCCATCATGTTAGGTTTTCCATGGAGCAGCTGGTAGGTTTAAACTGCTGACCTTATGGATTGCAGTCCAGTGCTTATCCTACAGAGCCACACCAAGAGTCCAAATATATGTACATTCACACACACACACACGCACACACACAGACGTATACATACTGATTTTTAAAATATTTTTAAAAACATAGACACATGTATACATAAAGTGTGTATACGTCTTAGATGTATACATCAATGAACTTTTATATTTGAATATACCCACAAAACCACCACACAGATCAAAATATAAAAAATTTCCAGCACCCTTCATGACCTTTTCCACCACCTAGCAAGAGTCAACCACATTCTAAGTTCTAGCACGATAAATTTATTTTGCCAATTCTTGTGCTTCATACAAATGCAGTACACTCACTTTCACATTCATATGAATTCATCATTCTCAACCTAGGCATTTATCCACTGAGCCTTGGTCTAAGTGTCATTTCCTCAGAGAGATGTCCCTGACCTCCTGAGATAGGCCACTCAGCAATTTAGATTGACCCAAACTTAAATTCATTACTGCATTAAACTTTCTCATAGCTTTCTTTGTCCTTATGACAATTTCTAATCACATACTTATACACACTAGCTTCTTCTGTTGAATTGATATATGTTTTGCTGTGTATATTCTCAACAACAACAAAATAAAATAAATTTGAAAAATATGCAATCACCTCTTTAATGCCTGTCCATGCCATCAAACCACAACTCCATGTATGCAGTACCCGCGTCTGTTTTGATCATCTCTGTATCCCCAGGAACTAACACAGTGACACTCTCTTAGCACTCATTTAATAAGTATTTCTGGAATGCATGCATGAATGAATACATGAATGAACTGTATAATTTACTGAGATAGGGGACACTAGGAAAACAGCTTTGGAAGGAAAGATCTAGAGTATAAATTGGATATGTTGAGTTTAGGAAGCCCTGAGATTCCAAGTGGAATTTCAGCCCTCTTACATTTTGGCCCCTGGACCACAAGTTCCCATTTACGAGTCTGTTTCTCCCACCAGACTGTTGGCTCTTTGAAGGTAGGGATAAAGACTACCCACAGTGACCAGCCTGGCACAAAGATGGGCATGTTGATTAAGGGCCCCTAGTTTGCAAAATTTCCAGAGAGGGATGGAGAAGCACATAATGTTTCCTGTTTATGTCCTCCTCCACCTGAATGCCAGAGCTAAGAGTTGGCATGGAGTAAATACTCAATTAAATGCGTGTGGAATTAAACTGGCCTTCCTCTACAAGTACTGTAAGTATGAACTTTGCCATTCAGCCTGCAGAATGACTCTCCTTAGGAGCCTCACTCTGAGATGCCAGACAATAATGGAGATCTTTATTTCAATGATGGAGGAAAGTGAGGTTATCTGGTGTGAGAAATCTGAAGTCATTTCTGGTAGTGGTGGAATAAAAATATTTTACAAAACAAAAGACGTTTTTGAGTCTTTGTAGCAATGCTACTTCTGGTACTTATGAGTGATCTACCATCAATCACCTTAACTTTCTGTGAGCATAGTTGAATCCTAACTCTAAAGTTAAATACTAACTCTAAAGAGTTAAAACAGGCTAGATTTGGGTAGAACTATTATTACTAGCAAACGATGAAGAATCAGCTGATTAAAAAGGAACAAACATATTGGATAATCATAAAAGCATATTGTATTAAAAGAGGGAGAGAATCTCAGGGGTCAAATAGTAAGATTTTCAAAAAGATATCTCGCAAGTAGTTATATATCAATAATGATGTGATTCTATTACTGTGTTGTTTAAAGTAATTTGAATACTATGTTTACAACAAAACAGAACACTGTGAATTAGTAGAATTAGTCAGCAAGAAGATCTTTCTAGATGTAGGCATGACAAAAAGAAAAGAGCTGTGTAGTGTTCTACAGGACGCTATCAAGTTGTGTTTACAATTTGCTCTTTACTTGTCTGTGTCTCTCAATACTCTATCTCCACGAAGGCAGAGATTGTGTCTCACCCATGCTGTATTCCAGGGCCTGAAAATAAGAGATGCTCAGAAAGATCTGTAGTGAGTGACTGAATATGCCAATAAGCATGTTTGTAATTACATAGAGAAGGCTTAAGCATTTGTATCAAACTCTTATCTCTTATTCTTACCAGCAGATTTATCTAGAGATTTCATATCTATGTAGCTTGAATTATGAGGTAGACAGACAAATATGTGTATACATATATCCATGCATATGAGGCGGCTTCAAAAAGTTCATGGAAAAAAAATCTCATTACCTTTAAATTCAAAATTTCCACAAACTTTTGAAGCCCCCTCCATGGTGTTTCCAATAACCTCATATGCATGCGAAAGCTGGACAGTGAATAAGGAAGACCGTAGAAAAACTGATGCTTTTGAGTTATGTTGCTGGAGGAGAATATTGAACGTGCCATGGGCTGCCAAAAGAACAAGCAGATCTGTGTTGGAAGAAATGCAGCCAGAGTGCTCATTGGAGGCCAGGATGGCTAGGGTTCGTCTCTCATACTTTGGACATATTGTCAGGAGGGATCAGTCGCTAGAGAAGGATGTCACGTTTGGTAAAGTGGAGGGTCGGAGAAAAGGAGGAAGACCCTCAATGAGATGGACTGGAAAAGTGGGCAGCATCAATGAGCTCAAGCGTGGCAATAATTGTGAGGTTGGCCCAGGATCAGGCAGTGTTTCATTCTGTTGTGCAAGGGGGCACTATAAGTTGACATTGACTTGATGGCACCTAACAATAACAACAACAACATACATACATGGAGTCCTGGCGTGGTGCTATAGGATAAGTACTGGACTGCTAACTGCAAGGTCACTGCTTCAGAACCACTAGCATCTCCTTGGAAATGATTGCTATCAGCCACAACCTACTGATGGCATTTAACAACTTAACAACAACAATATGCACACACATATACACATACACCAAACCAAAAAACCCTAAATTGTCACCAAGTGGATTTTGACTCATGGTAACCCCAGGTGTGCAAAGTAGAAGTGTTCCACTATGGTTTCTTGCTTTGAATCTTTTACAGAAGTATATTCACAAGCCTTTCTTCTGCAGTGCCACTGAGTGGGTTCAAGCCATCAGCTTTTAGGTTAATAGTCAAGTGCAAACAAACCTTTTACACCATCCATGGACTTTTTATATATTCATATATTTTAAAAATGTATAAAACATAAAAATTTTGTAAAAATCAGCAAATGTTAAACAAACAATGTCCTGTTCCACCACAGTGACCAGGATCTTACCTTGAGGAAGGTCAGACAATCCTGGTTCTCACTCTTGTCCTTATCCCGTAGATCAAAGTTGTAGAGGGCACGGCAGAGCGGGGGTGGCTGGGGTAGTTGCTTGATCACTTCCACAGAACTTGCTGGAAAGATCCCACTGATTCCACTGATCTCACCCTGGTACCAATTCTCGTCAAGCTGTCTCCGGAGAAGGATGACATCTCCCTTATTAAACCTCAGGTCACCAGGATTCTGCCCTCGGTAGTTGCACAAGGCCTTTGCTCGAGGCACCTGTAGTGGTACAGACCCATAAAATATGTATCAAACTTAACAACAACAATATACACATGCACATACACCAGGTACAATATTAACAACTAATTAGCACTTTTGAGGGCGCTATGAGTCAGAATCAACTCAGTGGTAGAAGGTCACTTTTTTGTTTGTTTGTTTAAGTGCTGTATGTGGGTAATCTCATCTAATCTACGGTGTAGTTCTAAATAGACATTGTTATTATCCATATTTATCAGCTGAGTAACTCAGGCAAGAATGGTTCACAGACAAGGATGCCCTTTATCACCACTCATATTCAATACTGTGTTGAAAGTGTTAGCCAAAGCTATAAGGCAAGAAAGGAAATTAAAGGCATCTGAAATTGACAAGAAGAACTACAACTCTCTGTATTTGCAGATGAGATATATGATCGTATACACAGAAAATCCCAAAGACTCAGCAAGAAAATTATTGGAACTCATTGAAAGATTCAGCAAAGTGGCAGGGTACTAGATCAACAAACAAAACCAATCAGATTTTTCCTTAAAAAAAGGAAACTGTCTTTCCTAATAAAGACAACTCTGAAAAGGAAATCAGGAAAACAATACTATTTACACTGTTGTTATGTGCCATGGAGTCGGTTCGGACTCAGTTTTTCTGACTTACAGGGTTTTCGAGGCTGTAAATCTTTACGGGTGCAGAACACCTCATCTTTCTCCTGCTGGTAGTTTCAAACTGCTGACCCGGAGGTTAGCAGCCTGATTCGTAACCAATATGCTATTTACACTGTTGTTGTTGTTAAGTTCTGTGGAGTCAGTTCCAACTCATACTGACCCTGCACAGGGTTTCCGAGGCTCCAAATCTTTATGGGAGCAGAACGCATCATCTGTCTCCCGTGGAACCGCTGGTAGTTTTGAACTACTGACCTTGAGGTTGGCAGTCTGACTCGTCATATGAAATACTTAGGAATAGATCTAACCAGAGAAACAAAAGACTTATGCAAAGAACACTACAAAACATTACTACAAGAAACCAAAAGAGACTCACAATGTCTGAAGAATATGTCATACTCATGGATTGTTGTTGTTGTTAAGTGCCTTCGAGTCGGTTCCGACCCATAGCGACCCTGTACAGGGTTTCCGAGGGTGTAAATCTTTACGGGAGTAGAAAGCCTCATCTTTCTCCCACGGAGCGGCTGGTAGTTTCGAACCACTGACCTTAAGGTTCGCAGCCCGATTCGTAACCACTACGCTACCAGTACTCATGGATAGGAAGACTTAAAATTGTGAAAATGTCAACACTACCCCAAACAATCTATAGATATACTGCAATCCCAATCCAGATTCCAATGTCATTCTTTAAAGAGATGGAAAAATTGATCATTAACTTTATGTGGAAAGGAAAGAGACCTCAGATAAACAAAGTATTACTTAGGAAGAACCTAGTTGGAGGCCTCTCACTCCATGATCTCAAAAATTTCCCCACAGTCACAGTGGTCAAAACAGTCTGATACTGTTACAACAATAGATGCATAGATCAATAGAACAGAATTGAGAATCCAGAAGTGAATCCATCCTGACAGAGGGCCAAAACACATTAAATGGGGAAGAGATCGTCTCTTCAACAAACGATGCTGGTGAAACTGGAAATCCATATGCAGATAAATGGAAACAAGACGGAAATCTCACAAACGATACAAAACCAAACCCAATGTGGATTAAAGTCCTGAATGCAAAATTTAGAGCTAGTAAGATCACCAATGAAAAAATAGAGACAAATTTAGGAGTTCTGTTGTTGTTAAGTGCCACTGAGACAATTCAGTGGCCTCTACAGGATTTCTGAGGAGCAGCTGGTGGCCTTGAAGCACCAATCTGTTGTTTGCAGTCCAGTGCTTATCCTATAGCACCATGATACATGGCATAAATACACTGTCAAACATAACTAAAAGCACAAATAGTACAAAACAAAACAAATGACTAGGAAGTATTAAAAATTAGACACTTATGGACATCTAAAGATTTCGCCAAAGAGTACAAACAGAATACACAAACTGGATTTTTTTCTTTTTTTTTGGAACGAAACATCGAACAAAGGATTACTCTTTAAAATGTATCAAAAAATACAATACTTGTACAAGAAAAAGACAAACAACCCAATTAAAACACGGGCAGATGACATCAATGGACATTTCACAAAAGAAGACATTCAGGCAACCAACGAACATATGAAGAAATGTTCATGTTTATTAGCCTTTGTTGTTGTTAAACGCCATCGAGTGGGTTCCGACTCATAATGACCCTGCATAGGATTTCCAAGAAGCAACTGGTGGGTTTGAACCGCCAACCTTGTGGTTTTCAGTCCAATGCTGATCCTCACAGTACCATACCAGGAGTCCCTATTAGCCCTTGTTGTTGTTAGTTAAGTGCCGTCGAGTCAGTTCCAACTTATAGTAACCCTGTATAGGATTTCTGAGGAGTACTGGTGAGCCTGAAGTGCTGACCTTGTGGTTCAAACTGACCTTGCAGTCCAGTGCATTAACCCACAGTGCCATACCAAGATTAAAACAACAATGAAACATTATCTCACCCCAGCATTAATGACAAAATTAAAAAAAAAAACAGAGAACAACAAATGCTGGTAAGGTTGTTGTTGTTGTTGTTGTCAGGTGCCATCGAGTTGGAACCAACTCATAGCAACCCCATACACAGCAGAACGAAACAATGTCCGATCCTGGGTCAACCTCACTACCGCTGCCACACTTGACACCATCAATGATGCCACCTGGCTGATCCATCTCATTGGGGGTCTTCCTCTTTTTCTCTGACCCTCCACACCCAGCATGACATCCTTCTTCAGCAATGTTCTCCCCAGACAATGTGTCCAAAGTATGAGAGATGAAGCTTAGCCATCCTGGCCTCCAAAGAACACTCTGGCTGCACTTCTTCCAAAACAGATCTATTGGTTCTTTTGGCAGTCCATGGCACATTCAGTATTCTCTTCCAACACCACAACTCAAAGGCATCAATTCTTCTACGATCTTCCTTATTCACTATCCAGCTTTCACATCCATATGAGGTTATTGAAAATACCGTGGCCTGGGTCAGGCGCACCTTAGTCCTCAAGCTGACATCTCTGCTCTTCAGTACTTTAAAAAAAGTTCCTGTGCAGCTGGTAAGGTTATGGAGTATAAAATGGTACAACTACTGTGGAAAATGGTATAGTGCTTCATTAAAAAGTTGGAAATAGAAATACTACAACCCAGCAATTCCTCTACTTGTTATATAAACACAAGAAATAAGAGCCAGGATAGATAAGAATGGAGGAATGGATAAACACACACACAATGGAATACTATGTAACAATGAAGAATAATGACTATTTGTGAAACACCTCATAACAAGGATGAACTGAGTGAAATTAGTCAATCACAAAAGGACAAATATTGTACAAGACAACTATTGTAAAAACTCAAGAAAAGGCTTTCATGCTAAAAAAAATCATTCTATGATGGGTACCTAGGATGGGAGGGAAGGGAGAGTAGAGGGTAGACACATGTTAGCTTGGGTGATGGTTATGACAAAATAGAAGAAAAGGGAGGTAGGCGGAAGTATGATGAAGACAGGTGAAAACACAGGGAGGGAGGTCTGCAAAGGTTAAAGGGGATAGAGCTAAATACAGTTGTATATGCAAACCTGGAACAACAGTGTTCTGTGGGCAGATCCATGAGCATACACAGGCTGAATGGGTATGCAAGGGAGACTGGGAGTATTCCCACAGCTATATAAGGATTTGAAAGAGAATACTTGCACATGGGCATTTCCCTTTGCCGCAAACACATCTATGAATGTGGTAGAGCATGTTGTTGTTGTTTAGTGCCTTCGAGCCATTTCCAAGTCACAGTGGTCCTGTATAGAGTTTCCAAGGAATGGTTGGTGAGTTTGAAATGCTGACCTTGTGGTTCAAACTGACCTTGTGGTCCAGTGCATTCTCCTACAATGCCATACCAGAACTCCGTGGTGGAGCATAACAGGGGACAAAATGATGAAAACTTAGATGTTATCAAACATCTTAAGGCAAAAAGTTTCTGGGTCTGAGGGCCCAGGACCATCAGGGGACATGATGGTCAACTGGCTTAACATAGTGCACAAAGGACAATGTTCTACATACTGCTTTGGTGAGTAGCATCCGGGATCTTAAAAGCTCTTGAACGACTATCTAAGGTTCAATTATTGGTCTCTTGACACGTGGATGAAAGAAGAATGATAAAAATTTGAAGATTCTTGGAATCAACTAGTACAACTGCCCAATGGAATGTGTGAACATCAGTTACCATGAAGTTACCATCAGAGACCAGAAGAACTAAATGGTGCTCATCTACCACTACCAACTGCTCTGAAATAGATCACATTAGAAGGTCCTGGATAGAGCAAGAGAAAATATGGAACAAAATTCAACATTTAAGAGACTGGAGGCACCTAAGACTAACCCTTCAGATTAGGAACAGAACTCACCCTTGTGGCCCAATTTTCAGCCAAGCAATAGATAGGTATCTAGGAGGGAAGAACAACACTAGAAAGCCATTCTTACTATAGAATACCCCATCATTGCAGATCAAAGGGCAACATTTACTTCAGGACAAAGTTGAGAAGAGATGGGAAGGAAGGTGCAACGGAAATAAGAATCACAGTGGGGAAAATGGGGAAACTGTTGGTACATGGATGGGACTGCAGTCATTGAAATGAAACAAAGTGTAGGATTTGTTGAATGTAAAACTGATGATCTTTTCTGTAAACCTTCAGTCAATTCACAATAATAATAATGAAAAAAGTGGGTCAGTAACTTGCCTTAAGTGACACAGCAGGAAAATGGCAGATACAGGGTCTATACTCATGCTGCCTGATTTTTGTTCTTAATTACTATGCTGGGAGCAGGCTTTGGAATAGAATACTTAACTAGTGAACTTGAGGGAGCCAGCAACACTTTCTGGATCTTCTGAATCCAGATTTTGAATTCTGGCT